GAGGTGGGTGAAATGAGGACCCGGTTTGTTGTTGGGGACAATATGCTGACTCTGTTAACCGCTTAGAGAGGGCTGAAAGCCCTATGAAGCGGTGTATAAGTCTAACTGCTATTGCTATTGCTCACGGGGACTGCCGGTTCGCCCGAACTGGTCTGAACCGGCTGAATCCCACCCCTGGGTGAGACTTAGTTGCTGTCAGCCTCTTTCCCTTTGTAGCTGTTATGGGTGAGATAAATAGGAAGCAGTCCCTCATCCCCCAAATTTACAAGTAAGTGACAACGAAAAACACATGTGAGCAGCCTCAAGTTTGCAACGTGCTTCTTTAAGTGGCTCTAAATGCCGTCTTTTTCCTTTGGTGCATCCTCTCACACAGGGGCCGTTTACCTGGAAGGAAGTCTTGAAGAAGCCAAACAATTGTTTGGACGCCTGCTCTTCAACGACAAGGTATGACTTCATTGCTGCCTTGATTATAGCTCTCACCGTGTTTTCTGCTTTTCTGTAGTGCTTTAAATTAAGTGCTTGAGAGGGAAACGGGAAAGAATCCTGCCTCTCAGGATATAATGCCTTGATCTAGCAAAGTAAAAGATTATTGTGATTACGGACATTGCCTGTTTTTCTGCTGTAAAAGACAAGGTGCCAGAAAAGGAGACTCTGCAGCAAGTTTCCATCATCTTGCTCAGAAGGACGACGCAAAGTTCCCAAAGTCTGACAGTTTAGATCCAGACAATCTTTCACGTGTCTGACATAATTTATTTGGGGGGAAACTGATTGACAGCGCTGAAGAGAACATAGGTGAAAAGAGAACAAATGAGGAGAAGAAGAAGGTGAACGAGGCCCATGTGAAATAGCAATGAGCTGCAGAGGGCTGGTTCGGATTCCTCTGTAACCTTGGAACTTCGCTGGATGATTTTGAGCACTTATTCTTAGTCCAACCTATCTCACGAAGGTGATTGCACATCCCTTGAATTCCCGCTGAAAAGGTAATATTTAGGAGAAAAAAAACCAGCACAGGTTGCTGGCTCTGAGAAAATCAGAAACGATAAGCCAGTCTATGCTTACACACTTAAATAAGTTTGCGTCAGAAGATCGTATCAAAAGTTATGCTTTCAACCACCAGCATGTAAATCTCCTGATGCGTACAGGCACCTTGGTGATTGTGGAAGTGCAGCTGAGCTGAGATGTAGGGAACTAATAGTGAATAAAGGGAGGGATTGATGCCTTTCCTCAGCCCGCGACTTCTCTCGTGCAAATAGCAGGCTGAATAGAATAGAATAAAATAGAATAGAATAGAATAGAATAGACAGAGTTGGAAGGGACCTTGGAGGTCTTCTAGTCCA